GGGGGGCTGGACTTGATGATATTCCAAGGTCCCTTCCAGCCGTAATGTCTATGCAATCTGTGAAATAGTGTTGGATCATAGGAAATTGGTTGTATTTCTTATTCCATAACTGGCCTGATATAGACAGCGGAAAACCAAGTTATTCGTACAAAGCCCTTCCAGCCAAAGACATTCAATCCAGTCTTCTGCTTGAATGTTGAAGGCTGCAATAAAACATTTTGTGGTACTCAGATTAAAGTGTGGTTATGACTAAAACGCATTCTGTAAAATTAGCACCCTCTTAATCTCTCCTGCATATATTCCAGTGTCATATTGGCAAAGGTGAAAAGACTGGCAAAGTATGAGAATATTAGAAGAAAACAATTGGGCATTTTTCAAGCAGATGGGTGGAGATGGGCGTTTGTGATTTCTTTGTGAACCTCTCTTAGCATATTTTGACCCATTCATTCACATCATTACTGTCTAGATTTATTTAAAAAAAAAAAAAAAAAAAAGCATCTTAGACATGTAAAGTGACTCTGGTAGTAGAGTGGTTAAGGTGTCTCACAACAGAATCCAGAAATATAAGTCTGAGCTTCACTCCAGACACACTGAAGACTACCCCCAGTTGACTCTGTATGGGCAGCTCACCATTTGGTCTGGGGAGGTCAAGGGTGACTGGATATAATGTTGGTCACATCACTCACTTGGGTCCTGATGTGTCCCTTGAAAACTGTTTTAACTTTTTATGTCTAAACTAATACATGTGCAACCTATGTACAATATCTATCTGAATTACTTTATCTGTACAAGACGAGAAGATGCTATGTATGTATGTGTGTGTGTGTGCGTGTATTGAAAAATAGTGTATCCACCTTTTAAAACAGAAAGATGTCTCAGAAAAGATGCCTCTTTTTTTCTCTCAGCCAACTTGACCAGGAACAGGGAGGGACCCTTCTTCCCTTGTGGACATGTATAGTTCTCCTGTTCTTTCTATGGGGTGTTAGTGCATCTCCAGAGGGAGATCCTGTTTTGTATATGAATCAAATAGCTCTCCATTCTTTCACTGGAAAGTTTTTGCTGGTGCTTAAATGCCTCTATTGGGCATTACAGTTCTATTTGAGCCTTATGGTGTAAGAGACACTTTTAGTGAAGCTAAGAACCTGAATGAGTATCTGCCTAATAAACAGCAGCATTGATTTCATTATAAAGGAAATCTTCCCTCTTCTCTAATGGTTGGGGCACGTGCCCAGGACATTCTGGAATAAGAAGGTTTAAATCCACATCTACTTCCCAGGACTGTGCCCTAAGCACCAAGCTGTGGTTGAGGCATGGCTGAGAGTATCCTCTACTCTCTCCTGTTGGAACTGGCCCAGTGGCCAGACATGAGGGAAGGTTTCATGAGGCCAGAAATAGAGCAAGCCAAAGAGAGCCCAACTTGGCCTGAGTTTGGTCTCTGGTTCCAAAGCAGCTTATTCATTTTACTCAAAGATGATTTAAAGCAAGATTATTATTAGTACTGATGTTAACCTGCTCTTGTAAGTAAAGGTTTTCTTTGACACGCATATAAGGGCTAGGCAATTAACAAAATGTATAGATAAAGGGAGTGAAACTGCAAAAGAACATAAAAATAATGGGAAGATTGATTCTGAGGAGAGTTTAAAAGTCTGTAATACAAAGGAGGAAGAGTAGCTGTTTATCTTAGCCAAATAAAAGCAGAGACTGCAACCAAGAGTAATGGGACGAAGCTTAAGAAGGGAAATTTAGGGTGAATGTTAGAGAAAAAAATTATTGAAAAGGAGATACCTTTGGATGAAGAACCAGTTTCCCAATTTCATTGTCTGGGTTGTTATACTTCAATCAGAAGTTTTAAATGCAAGAATTACTGGGTATACTACTGTTGGCTATGTAAATGCAGGATGTCAGATTATCATGGTGTTCCTTTTTTGGCCTTCAAATCTATCAAATTATGAAAACCCAATTTTATTAGAATTTCTGAAGATATTTTAGATATTAAAATTTATCACAGCCACAATATTTTTCCAATTGTTTATCTATTTTCATACACAGACGCTAAATAATTCTGAAACAAGGCGTTCCATTCCTGTGACTTCAAACACAGATATAACCAAAGATGAAAAAGGAGAACCTTCAGGTTTAGGAAAAGAACCTGAGACTCCTGCTTCCTACGAAAAAGAACATGATGTGGTTTTAAGTGAAGAAGAAGAAGAAGAAGAAATACATAAAGTATCAAGTACCACTGCTAGTACTTAAATCAGTGGTATTAAAATGATTTTCAGTTGATATTTAGCTATACAGCTTTCCAATATGGTCTCAGTGAATGCAATGGTCAGGATCAAAGGATATTGACAGACTGATGAGATGCAGCTTATCTGTACATTTATTTATTTTTAGTATATCCTAAACTGATAGAGAATTGGTTACCATTTGTTTGATCATACATCCTTGAATACACTTGTTTTAATTACACTTCTGTTTTGTAATTCAGATCTACAATCAGTTTGTTGAACTTTCTGTATTAAATAGTTGTAATATATTTAAGAATTTTAAAATATGAACTGTGGTGGTAATTAGAACATTTCTCAAATGGTACATGTTTTTAAATTGCATCTAAATTATATTTAA